AGCAGGAGTCTTTTCAAGCAGACCCTCGAATTCAGAGCGAGCCCAGGTCAGGCAGTGATCAATGTTGTGAGGAAATGAATGCACCGTACACATTGGCGCCTGTCTCTCTGGCGGGTCCCTTGAAGCGCCATAATTTTCTGTTAGGTGTGGGATAACCATCTGCGTGTTGCACTTTGCACCCAAAGTTCCAGACTCAAGAAGAGGCTTCTGGAAATACAAGCATCTTGAATCAACATAGAGTCTCGCATTGACATTATCCAACGCATTAATCACGACGGTGAGATTCTCCCAGAAGGCATCGTCAAAGACATTCTCGGTCTCAGGGCCGACGCGGTTTTGAAGAGCCTCAACATTGAAGCGGGGATTTATGGCTGCTGCAGCAGATGCTGCCACCGTAGATTTAGCCTGTCCAATGTTCCAGTCGCGGAAGAGAAATTGACGACTGAGGTTACTCTTCTCAATTACATCATCATCCGTTACCGTTAGTTTCCCTTGGCTTCCACAAGAAACCCCCATCAGAGCCATGTTTTTCAAGAACTCACAACCAAGAGCACCAGACCCTATTATGAAGGCGTTAGCATCCTCGAGTTTCTGCTGGAGCTTAGCACCGAATACAGAAATTTGAGCATCATATCGGCAGTTACGTGGTTTAAAGTCATCTGGATCCAGAGGGCCAGTAGGGAGTGACTCCACGGAATCAAAGTAAAAGAACTGAAAAAGTAAGCAGCTCAATATTAGGTTCAAATAAAAGTGACGCCTATGACTTTCCACAAGTCAAAGATAACACAGATCTAAGAAAAGGAAGCTTGAGATATGAAAAACTAAACAAATGTGTCCACGGAGTACAAGTGGCAGAAGTATTACCTGATGGAGAGGGTGAAATTTCCCAGAGCAAGCTTTAACAACCTCCTGGCCTACAATGCCACCAAACATAGCAGCCATGGGGTTCAAGACAGCCCTGGCACCAAAGGCAAAGTGTCGTAGGAGTTTAGGGTTAATATCTTCCAACTTCACATCACCCAGTTCACTATTGATGTTAGCTGCAATAGATATCAATTTCTGAGCATCCTCTTCGGAGCCAGCAACAGGGAATCGACCAGATTCAGAACAAAATCTATCAAGTGCCTGGAAAGCTAAGTGGAGGAGGGGAGGGCGATCAAACTTTGAGAAATCACTAAGAAGAAAATCTCCTGGATCTCCAAGTGCTTCCCTCAGCGGTTTAAAGTGCAGCACCTTAGGCTGCTTCACCTGAGTGACAATACCACCCTTCACATATGTGCCATAACCAGTGGTGTCCTCATCAAGGATAAATGCATATGGCTTCGCAGATTTTATCTTCCTCGGCTTTCCATCATTCAATTCTGCCATTCCCTCAACTTCAGAGAAAACAACTAAATCCCCATCTTGAAATTCAAGTCTCTCATCATCAACACAAGAAACAAATGCAGGATTCTCATTGGTGATGGAGGCAATGATGCCTGTGTGGGGTTCCTCTCCATCCACATCAAGAACTGTAAACTCGGGCCCAAAATCACAAAATACAGAACCAAAAAGACCTCTGACATCAGCCTTGATGAAGGAGATAGGAGGCTGATGACTGTGGCAGTAATCATCAAATTCAATGGCTTTCTCGAATCTGATATCAGTGAATACAACAACCTGCCTCACAAGAATGCAAATAAATCAGGGGTGAAACTAGCCAATTCAACAAATTTAAGGGGAAATTTTTTTTAGTACAGAGACTTCAATACGGAGGCCAAACTTGTGTGCCAGGATACAGGAACTATTTCTTTCAGTGCGAAGCATTGATGTCCATTAGTCACAGAGTTTAATTTTGAAATGACTAGGTATCTACACTAATGCAATTTATTTTGGACATGATTAGCAAAGAGAAACCATGTCCGTGAGAACGCAGCTGACAACTACAACTATGATCTACAAAAGAACAGAACAAAGAAGTAGTCTACAAACCTGGTAATCAGAAAGGTTCTCTTTGGCTAGGCTTGTCGTCAAGGTAGAGACAACCACTGCATTGTTTAGTTCTTGTAATTTCTGAACTGAAGCAAGTGCCCTGTTCTTACCAACATCATCCTCCGAAAAAACAAAGTTACTGGATAAGTCCCATAGCTCAACGATGCCTTCATCGTGCAGGGTCACCGACTTCACACCAGCAAGAATAAGATTCTTGGCTGAAAAGGGAGGAAATTGGAATGATGAGAACAAAAAATAAGGAAGAGGAAAAGAAATATTAAAATTGCACAAATGGTAAAGACCAAAAGAATGGAACATAAAAGACTGCCGTCATGAAATTAAAGGCTATATTACGCACTTGAGACAGCCAAATCCTAACATCGATATTCCAAGCAAATAAAACAACCCAGTCAATCTATCCGGAATTTCTGTACAATGGTGAAAGATGCCTCGAAACACTAACCCAGAATTGTTGAAAGCTAGAACCTCAAACATGAGAAACTAAAAGACTCCTGAAATTATTTCCCGCTGTTAAGAATTAAAACTTCAATAATCACAAAGACTCGTCCGAATCAAATTCCTAATCTCCTACAAGCTCTTGAAGCACGCATAGCATCATTTGAAAGCCAGAAAGAACACGATCATGATCAAGTCAACGAAATAACCAGAAGAGAGGAGAAAACATTACCTATCTCGGCACCAAGACCCTGCATCCCGGAGACGAGAACGTTGGAAGCAAAAAGCCGCCTCATGGTCTCACGCCCGTAGACCGCGAGCTGCCGGCTGTGGAGATCCTCATCGATCTCCTGACGGTTCGAGTTACCGAAAGCCATGTCGTTGAGCCGCGGCTCGACGCTACCGCTGCCGGAGTCGGAGCTCGTATTACAATCGAAAACCGCGGAAGACTTCTCGGTGATCTCGATCCGGCGTCTCTTGATCGGCGGCGATGGAGATGCCGAATTCTTGCTCTTATCGCTGTTTTCCTCTACAACAGATGCTTCACCAGCTCGCTTGTGAAGCATAAAGTGAAGGAAGAACCTGCCTAGAACGAAACGAAGCATCACGGAGATCAAAACCAATAGCAAAAATACAGAAAATCAACTCGAAGAGAATATCCAAGGCTCGGACGAAACATAATCAAATCCGATCAAAATCGAAGCGAAAGCTGAAATACCAAACCCTAATCTGGAAATGATTCTTCAGCAACCATGAGAAGCAAAGGAGACGTACCTTGGACGAGAGTACTCGAGCGAAGAATGGAATCCAAAAGAGAGAAGAGAAGATCTGATATGGAAATGGCGAACTCTGAAATCACAAGATTTATTCGGACGCCAGCTTAGGAAGAAGAAATGGATTCGGTGAGACTACGAGGGAGGGAGGGATTGGGAAAAGACCAGAAACTACTAAACGACGCCGTTCTGACGGTCGTCTCATTATTCGTCTCTGCGTACTCGTGACGCCAAGTCCACATAGGAGGCCGCCACAATGTGGGACTTTTGGACCCAACAATACGCAAAAACAATCAGACGCTAAATTAGACTGATGAGTCACGGGCCCTAATATGGGCTTGGATTGAACTTATTTGGATCTAATTAGTATTTGGGCCTAAGCCCAAATATGGGCTTGGATGTGTAAGCTAGTGAGATGAAGACACGTGGCATTGGCGCGTAGTCACGTCACTCTTTTTCAACGCAAATCATGCAATGCACGTACAAAGTTTTTTTTTTTCCATCTAAATTCACTGAATATATATATATATATACGTATATGTATAATTTTAAATCAGTTTTATCAAACCATTCATAATTATTTCTTTCCGAGGGAGAAGCAAATATCGGAAGTCGGTCCAAACATGAAATCTGTTGACAAATTAATTCCGACAATAAAATGTTTAACAATAATTTGTTTATTTTTTATGTTAACCTCGAATGGTTTGATGGCAAGGCAGTTCCTTTATAGAATAAATTTTGTTCAAATAAAGATTATATCTTGGAAGATATCAAACGAAGAAAATTAATAGAGGAAAGACAAAAAAACAAGAATACTTTATGAACTTCTGATTGGTTTTAAGACGAATAATTCTAGCTAGGATTGGACATCAGAGAGAGATGATATGGGATAGTCGACATATATACATATATATATATATATACACATTATATACGTGTGGGTGTGGGTGTGTGTGATGGTGGTGGGTCGTAATTCGTAAGCACCCGCCAATAATTTGAATTAAATAAAACTTTTTTCGTCCATCTGTTATATGGTCTCTAGAAACACACGGTGGGGGCTACAACATTGACTTTATTGTGGCCTCCTAATTATCATAGTGCTACATAATATACAAGCATCGGATACCAATCTCTTAATTATTCCCTTTTTATTCGGCATAATTTATTTATTTATTTTTTTATAACGGAAGATTCCTAACTACTACCCTTCGGGTGCACTGACTAGGTAAACCTCCGACCCGAGAGCAACATTTGTATATGGTCATATAAATCCAGAAATTACCTCCTTCCCCACCAGTCAGGAATCGAACACTCAACCTCAAGGTGGAATTACTTCTTACTCCGAGTTTGACCACTCGCCCACGATCTGTTGGGTATTCGGCATAATTTATTACATATATCTACACGCGCGCACACACACATATTATATACACAATATATCCATTTCAAATATTTTTTTCTTATTTTTCCATTGATTTTTAATTTGAAAATACTCCATAAACATCAAAATAACCAACGAAAAACCCGGATTCATCCTCCAACCTAGTTGATTGTCGTTGGGTTTTTCGACTTAAACGTGATGCTAATGGCATAATTGACAGGCACAAGACGAGGCTAGTGGCTAAGGGGTTCCATCAACGACCCTGACTTGATTACACGGAGACATTTAGCCCGGTGGTCAAACCGGCTACAATACGAGTTATCATAAGCATTGTTGTCTCAAAAGGATGGGAACTTCGACAAGTCGATGTCAATAATGCATTTCTACAAGGTACATTACATGATGATGTGTACATGGTCCAACCTCCTAACTTTGTTGATCCGGACCGTTCTTCCCACGTATGTAAGCTCCACAAGGCATTGTACGGGCTCAAGCAAGCACCAAGAGCATGGTACAATGAACTACGAAATTTTCTTACGGAATTCGGGTTTGTCAACTCCTTATCCGACTCTTCTCTCTTCATCTTTCCCCATAACAACATCATCTTGTATTTGATTGTTTATGTCGATGACATAATAATCACCGGAAGTGACGCACGGGAAGTACAGAGATACATTGACATACTTGCCCAAAAGTTCTCTCTCAAAGACCTCGGCAAGCTTTCCTTCTTTCTTGGCATTGAAGTCACTCATACAACACGGGGAGTTATACTTACTCAACAGAGATACGTTCATGATCTCCTTGCTCGACACAAGATGAATGATGCGAACTCGGTGCCAACCCCCTTGGCATCCACGACGACGCTCTCGACT